TAGGGGGAAAAAAACTTGCTCCAGGAATTTACCTCTTTGCAGCTAGCTCTTTGAAGCCCCGCGGCAAGAATTTAAAGTTTTTTTCCCTCTAGCCATCAGCTGGGACTCCGGAGCAGCAATAGATTGGGAGTGGGCGGGGTAAGCGAACGGCGACCGGGCGATCCAGCAGAGGCAGAGGGTGAGTGAAGGCGGGGGGGGCGAGAGAGGGCTTTGGCGACCCCTGGGAAATGGCCGTTCGACCCCCAAAGGGGTCGCGACCCCCAGGTTGAGAACCGCTGATCTAGATCTACCTTTTCGCCCTTTCCAAATAGCAATCACCGGGTTATGGTCCGCCCATAGGTTAGTATCTATTTTCACTTATTCAATATTTAAAGTCAATTCCATTGTTGTCCATATCATATCTAATCTGGACCAAGATAGATGTCTGTCAGAGTAGAAAGTATATTGTCTATTTTTTCCATTTCTCTCCCTCCATATATCTTTCAAGTTTATTTCCTCTATCATTTTAAAGAAAGTCCTCGGCAATACCTTTCTACTATGTTTTGTTGTTTTGTGTGTTTTATAGTCCAATTTTTCATCCACAATTCCATTAAAATCTCCCATCATACAGACATTTTCATACTCCATTTCAATTATCTTATTATGTAGTTTTCTATAAAGTCACTAATTATTGTTAGGAGCGTAAATTGCTACTAAAAGTAATTTTGTATTGTTCTACCTTCTGGATCAGCGTATTTCTGCTCTGCCATTAGTGCGTTTCTGATATACAAAGCAACTCCTCTTTTTTTTACTTTGTGACAATGATAAAAAAGTTTTGCCAAATTTTGGTTGAATCAATAGTTGTTCATGTTGTTTTTTAATATGCACTTCCTGTAAACAAATTATATCAAATTTTAATTTTTCTAGTTTGTGAAATACTATTCTTCTTTTACTGGCCGAATTGAGTCCATTTACATTTATTGAAATTAATTTCCTTTCTTCTATATTCATACTTTATAAATAGGTTTTGTTGCTCTAGTCGATCTAGCTTCACATTGTTCCTTGTATTCCATAACTCTGCCAATCGCTCCTTCTGTTGCGTCCAGCATTATCAATTCCTCTTCAGTGGATTTTATTGGAACTAATATTGCTTGAGTTTCAACTTCCATATCCACTTTCTCTTTAAGGAGAAAGTAGTTCTCCTCACAGAAGGCTCTCGCTTTGTCAGTTGTATTTAACCTGTATCTTTGGAATTGCCATGTTAGACCTACTCGTTCTGGGAACAACCATCTGTAGTAAATCCCTTTTTGCAGCAAAACTTTGGTCAAAAATTGATATCCTCTTCTTAACTCTCTCACTTTCCTTGGAATTTGTCTCAGAACTGTCACTTCTTTCCCTTTGTATTTCAAAGCCTTGTCACGAACAGCCTGAAGAATTTGTGTCTTAATTGATTTCTTAGTAAATCTTATATGTACTTCTCTTGGAAGCTTATTAGCGTGGCGTATCCAGTATAAACTCGATAAATTTCAACAATTCCTTCCATCATCTTCTCTTTAGTGACTTCTAATGCCTCAGCTAGAATCGTGTTCATGATCTCGGCTAAATTCTCTCCTTTTTCTTCCTCAACATTTTGGAATCTTAAGCAGAATTCTGCTTTATCCATTTCCCATCCAATTAAGCCAGAGGTTCCTTGTTCTACCTCTCCCAATCTGTTCTCAATTTCCTTCATTTTTCCTTCTTTTTGGCCATCTCTTTCCTCCAATTTAACCAATCTTTCTTCATATTTCGACATTGTTTGTTGTATATTGACCACCTTTTCATCTGTTTGCACTAATTGCTGTTCCATCCTTTGTTGTTGCTGTTCCATCCTTTTTTGTTGTTGTTCCATTCTTTGAAGTGTTTGTAGAATCGTTTGTGTCACTGGTTTTTTTTCTTTCTCTTCTTGTAACATTGTCTGGATGGAACGTTGGCCTCCAGGCAGTTTTTTATTAGCGTCTTGGTCTTTTGACTTTTCTGAGGCTTTTCCTTATGATTAATATTTTATTTGGGATAATGGGAGGACTTGATTTTTTCTTACATCAGCAAATTCAATAATGCTATAACTTTTTTAATATCTTGGCCTGGGTGAGGAACCCCTGCAATACTGTAATGTTTTTGTGTTTACTTTTTCTTATATTCATATCAAAAAGATTCTTGACTGGTCTCTCTGTTCAGATTCCTGGATCTTTCTTCACATATAAAGGTACCCATGAACCATTCCAATTCCCCAACCCTGATACTGTTTCTGGCCTATTCCTTTTGAATTTTGCTCCACCAGGTTTTAGCAAAGTCTACTAAATTGACCATTTTTAATTAAAACTTTTAATTTTTATAGATTGTTGGTTCCCTATAATCTGTGAATTTGTATAGCAACACTGGAATCTCGGAGATCACATCACTGAAATATACCCTTTTTTTATTTATATATCATATCCTGTTTATTTTATGCAATAATGTTCCCTGTTGTAAGGTCTTGCCTCTCCAATCTTCCCAAGAAAGCAGGACTCTTGAAACGGCAGTTGTTCCAGAACGAGCTTTTATTGAAAGATTTGTGATTACAAGAGATCTAGGTAAGAACTGAAGCTTCCCACTTAAAGCCAGCTATTTAAAGCAATGCTAACCAAACCCCTCCCACACTACATCATTGCAGGGAAACAGAAAAAGAAACTTCATATAGAGATTAGCACAGTAATTAATGCAGGAAACAGATACAGAAACTTCATATACAGATCACTCCATTCCTCCCCTCTTCCTCCCATCAAAATGCCAGCTTCCCTGTAGAAATATCTAGGACCTGACCGCCTCTCTAGAAAAACGGGAATTTCACCTGAAAGAAAACAAAAGAGGGAAGGGAAGACAAAGGAAACATAAAAGCAACGAGGTTTGTCAGGGTACAATTGATGAAATATACGTACTAATTTATGGGCATCACATGTTTTTTGTGAACTCATTCATTGTGTGAGAAGGGGAGGTGTTTCCAAGTCACCAGTTACTGAGTGGTCCCATGGAATTTCCCAGAGTCAAGGATTTCCTGAACCTCAAAATGTTGTTCACCCTCCACCATAATAAGGGGTGGAACAGGGGTAGTAACCACGCTAAATTCAGAGCTGACTTCAGGCTTCAATAAGTTACAATGGAAAACGGGGTGGACTTGCTGTACTGACTTAGGGAGATGTAATTCCACCATGACAGGGTTAATATGAATTTAAAGCCAGCTATTTAAAGCAATGTTAACCAAACCCCTCCCACACTACATCATTGCAGCAAAACAAAAACAGAAACTTCATATAGAGATTAACACAGTAATGCTGGAAATAGAAACAGAAACTTCATATACAGATCACTCCATTCCTCTCCTCTTCCTCCCACCAAAATGCCAGCATCCCTGTAGAAATATGGTCTATCCTGGAGAGATATCCTGGTCTATTTCTCTCTTTTCCCGCAGGATTTTTTTTTTTTTTTAAATTTGATTTATATGCCGCCCTTCTCCGAAGACTCAGGGCGGCTTACAATGTGCTCAGCAATAGCCTTCATCCTTTTGTATATTTATACAAAGTCAGCTTATTGCCCCCATAACTGGGTCCTCAATTTTATTTAGAGTCCTCTGGTTCACATTGTTTGTCAGGCTTCCAAATATGTTCTCCCTAGGCTTTGTGAAGCATAGGGAATCTCTTACCAGATGCCCTTTATCTATATCAGGGGTGTCAAACTGGATTTCTTCGAGGGCTGGATCAGCCTTGTAGTTCTCCATGGGCCAGTGGGGGGCAGGGAGCAGTGGGGTGATGGGACAGATGCCTCCTGCAGCACTCTGCCTCCTGCAGCACTCTGCCAAAACAGAGTGCGGGAGGGCCCCTCTGCCACATTTTCGGCCTGAATGGCCTCCTGCAGCACTTTGCCAGCCAAAACAGGCTACACAGAGGCCCTGTGAGGCACCCGCACAGTCCATTTTCGACCTTCATGGCCTACAGCAGCACTCTGCCAGCCAAAAACAGGCCGCATGGAGGCACCTCCACGCAACCCATTTTTGGTCAGTAGGGTGCTGCTGGAGACTGGGAAGGCCAAAAACGGGCCATGCAGGTGCCTCGCAAGGCCTCTACGAGGCCCATTTTTTGTCCGGCAGAGGCACTGTGGACCAGTCCTTTGATATTTCCAGATGCTGCCTGCGGGCCTTGAGATTGATACCCCTGATCTATATGATAATGTCAAAAAAGAGAATGTATTTCTAGAGCCTCTCTTCGTTATTAGCTCAGTGAATTAAATGTGTTTCAGGGTCTGTACAAAATTATTTCTAGTTTCAACTGTAATATCTTCTGAACGTCATGCAGTTGCAGAAAATTATTTATTTGTTAAGTTGATATGTTGTCCATCTCACTCTGTAAAGTAACCCTTCGCAGAAAATGTTGCTGGTTTTGTAATATAGTGATAAAATCATTAGCCTAATGCTAATATTTAGTAGATTAAAGATTAATATTTAATTAAAAGCATTGATAGGCTTAGGGAAAACTCTTAAGTTGTATTTCAAATTAAATTAAGATGGCAAAATATTATGGGCTTCCTGAAGTTCTCATCTTTCACTATGAATGAATATGGATATGCTTTATATGTGATTGAAACAATTCTAAATATTCTTAGACCACATTTTAAAAATATTTTGATTGAAGTTAATTGCTTTTATATATTACAAAATGGGATTTACAATGACTCTGTCAGACTACATGGTAGGCAAATTATGTATACTAAAATTCCACAGAATTGTGCCAGCCTACTTGAGTAACTCAATCTATACAAGTTGAACTAGCAGCGGTGATACTTCTCAGTTTATGCAATAATCAGTTATGTTTATAGTTTTACAATACTTCTTCAAGTATATCTGATACCATTTTTACTGATTTATTGTTTCATCTTCTGAATCACATTTAAAGAAATATTCTGGAACTAATGTTTAAACTTCAAATGTTAATGCAACAATTTTCTTATTTTAGAGTATTCTGGAACTGGGCCCTAAGTACCTGAAATTGTATACTAAAAATATTCCTTCCTGGGTAAGTTTAATATTTTATGGCACAAATTTTATCAGTGACATGATTTTTATACTATATAAATATTAATGTTATATTGGTCTTTTCAAGTAAATTTTATTATTTAATCTGTTATTCTATCTGTTTTAATAGTAAATTTTATTTTATTTTATTTTTTTGCTATTTGTCCAACATTTGTTTATTATCCCCATTTTTATTTGTTTAAACTCTGATTTGCATTATTCTGATATTTATTTTCTGATCAAAGTGTTTATTTATGACCAGGTTTTGTGCCCTGATAACAAAAGCCATATGAAACGGATTAAGGTCTGGTCAGTTTCAGGCAGCAGTGTAAGTTGGCCAAACCAATTAAAGTCACCAAGCTGAGCATGTTAATTTATGGTTAGGATTTTTTAGGGGTGTGCTGTGTTGCAAAGAAAAGCAATTCTGGAAAAGATAGCTTGTTTAAACAATTTCTCATCAATGTGAGAGAGTAAAAAAAAGAGGGAAAAGTTAGGCACAGGACACAGTATGGAGAACTTTATTTGAATAAGACAACAGCAACCAATGATCTTTGTACTCTCTCTCTCTCCCATTCTCTCCTTTTCTATTTCTGTCACATGTTGACTTAGTGACTATTTCACTTAATAACCAAATTGTTGGAACATAATGCAATCATTAAAAAAGGAGAGGATATATTTTATGAGTTCAGTAAGCTACTGTCAACCCTCCTGGATAAACCAGACAGGAAACATAACTATATCAACTATACTACTTATTATAAAAGCTATATTAGTAGATTCTTATGAGTCCGAAGGTACAAACTTTCAAATGCCACTTTTAACATTTGATCTGTTAAGGCAGGTTCATTCTCCTCCTTCTCTTCTCTGATTATTTCCCGGTCAGCATCTCTTTCCCTCATCCTACAATGACATTCACATATTCTATTTCAGCTACTCAACAATGTTATAAATAAAAAAATACTGATTCTATAAACACAGTATTGCAAGCACAGGCAGAGCAAAATACTTGGCTTGCATGCTGCTTTTTCTTCCATCAAAATATTTTTTCAACTTATTCCCTATTAGTTGGTAAACAGGTTGCTATTGCATCTCATTGCAGAAATAGATGCAAGTTATTATTAGTTTTTAAATCGGTAAAATCATGGCTTACAATTAGATTTAATAATAAAAGAATGGCTGAGACAGTAATTTTGACCATTCAGAAAAACATAAGCAAAAATCTTTATCCAGTTCCTTATAGCACATCTTGAATGAAAACTTCCTGATTTATTTAAATTTAGAATATGATTCAGAACAAACAATTATGTAAAATTAAAATAGCTATTTTGCTATAATAATTATAACAAATTATATGGATTTGATTTTTCTTCAAATCCAACAATTTTTCTCATTTTTTTTCCAGAAAATATTCAGTCATCACTGTTAACTATAGTTGTCCTTATGTCCTTATGTGGAAATCTTTCAAATATATATTCACTAGTACTGGTCAATTCTTTAAGTATTTCCTTCAAACTTTAAACAGTGATGACTGAATATTTTCTGGAAAAAAAATGAGAAAAATTGTTGGATTTGAAGAAAAATCAAATCAAGATGTAGATGAATCAGATTTTGCCCCGCCTATTTTTAAGACTGAGTTTCTTGCAGTTTGGGAGCAGAATAAATGCAAACAAAGTTTATGGAAATTGCAATCAAATGTAATAGATCCAGTGGTGGGATTCAAATTTTTGAACAACCGGTTCTATGGGCGTGGCTTGGTGGGCATGGCTGGGTGGTCCTCTGACTGGGTGGGTGTGGCCAACTTGCCATTACTCACATTGAGGGGCGCCTCGCCCTGCCCCTCCCCGCCACTCCTTGTCACGCACGGCCTCAACGTATTTATAGTTCTGTAAAAATGTTGTTCACCTTTTTTTCAACTTTATTAAAGTTTTTCAACTTTATTACATACTATAGATGTATTTTCATGGACCACTGAAAGGAGGAAGTGGCTCACATGCTTTGCCCAAGAGTGTGATAGGCAGATCACAAAACAGGCTTTTGAGGGGCTTCAACAAAGAGGGGTGGGGCAATATATTTTCCAAAGAAGCAGAAGGCAAAACAAGAAGCAATAGATGGAAACTGAACAAAGAGAGAAGCAACCTAAAACTAAGAAGAAACTTCCTGACAGTGAGAACAATTAACCAGTAGAACTACTTGTCTCAAAACCTTTTGGGTGCTCGATCACTGGAAGTTTTTAAGAAAAGACTGGACAGCAATTTCTCTGAATTGGTATAGGGTCGTTCCCCCCCCAAAATCCTTTCTAAGTCTTATTCTATTATTCTGACACCTTTCCCAGGCCCTCCACTCAGATTTTGACATCCTCAGTTTTCCTGCCTGAGCAGAGGATTAGTCTAGAAGACCTCCAAAGTCCTTTTCAACTCTTTTATTCCATTATTCCTGAGAAACACACACACACACTCAATTTAAGCAAATTTCTTTGTTTTGGAGACTTTAGATTCAGAAGGTACCTTGGAGGCCTTATAATTCCACCTTCTGCTCAAGGCAGAAGACCTCATACATAAGCAAATTCACAGACATCCCGGCTTTGGCTGCAAGAACTGTAGGCAGTCTTCCCCACCACACACTTCCTTCTCCCGCTGCCCCATGTGAGGCAGGAGGCCTGAGAGAAAGTGCCTGGTCTGGACACACAGCCCTCCACGACGGAGCCCTTCCCTGGGAGCAAAGCAACGACTTACTGATCCATCCTGAAGGTGAGCTCCAGAGCGGTGGTGGCAGCAGCAGGAGAGCTCCAGTGCAGCAGCAGCATACTCCATGTGGGTGGCCCTCGGGGAAGTAATTTTCTCTCAGGCTTCCCACCCATCAAGATGTTGCTTGATCTTGCAGCCGCTTCTTGCGGCCCTTGTTGGTGCTGGGCATGCCTTGGGCACTTGGAGAGATGCTCCACATACTCTACGGGTTGGCAACTGTTTCTTTCTGCCGCTGCTCTTGTTGAGTGTCTTGTGCAGCACAGCTAAATTTAGCAGCCGTGAGCCACCACTTTCCTCTAAGTTCCATCTGTAAAGCACTGCAGCAGAGAAGCAGCCAGGTTGAATGCTGTTTCTTTCTGCCGCAGTGCTTTCCGGATGGGACTTAGGGAAAAGCGGCGGTTCAGAGTTGCTAAATTTCACTGTGGTGTGCAAGATTCTCTTCCAACAAGAGCAGTGGTGGAGAGAAAACAGCTGATAACCCAGAGAACACGTGGAGCAGCTCCATGTGCTCTCAAGGTTAGCAGCTGCTTCTCTCCACTGCTGCTCTTGCTGGGAGAGTGTCTTTCGTGAGCCTCGGGCACTCGGGGAAATGCTCCATGTGTTCTTCTGAAAATGGCCCGAACTGTCTGCTTCTTTCCACTGCAGCGCTTTACAGATGGGTCAATAAGATAAGAAGCTTATCCAAACCGCTTCAGCCCACCTGCACCAATGCCGCCCCCGCCTCCTCTGCTACTTGGTTCAGGCTAGGGCCTAGGCTAGCTGGGGAGCCAGGAAAGCAGGCGAGGAAACCGGCTGGGCCGTGGGCGCCATGTAGGAAGGCAGGCAAGCTGGCTGGCTTGCAGAGACTGTGTGGTCAACGCAATAGATGGGGCCAGCTGCATGCCGAGGCAATCCAACTGGGGTAGGCAGCTGCTGCCCGGGGAGGAGGTGGACTCAAGTCTATGGGGCTGGCTGCAGGGCAAGGCGATTTGAAGGGGGTAGGTTGCAGCCTGCAGGTGCAGGTCGACCACCCTTCCCAGCCCCGCTTCCCCAAGGGGGTACCCAGCTGTGCTTACCTGTTCTGCTGCTACAGCGGTCAGGAGCAGTCTGAGGTGGGCGTTTGGGAGCAGGCCAAGACGAAGAGGAGGCCGCCGCATTGTAGGCCACGTCAAAGGCAGGCAAGCTGGGCTGCGTGGCCACATGGTCGAAGCAAGGGAGCCAAAGAGCAGCTGCAGCTATGCCTTGCTGTGACTAAGGCACCAGCCAAGGCGTGTAAGGCCACTAAGTAGTGGCAGGGAGTGGGAGGGGGGGTCATCCAGCAATTTAACAACCTGTTTGGCCAAAGTGGTGCGAACCGGTTGAATCCCACAACTGAATAGATCCAATCTGGAGGACTGTTGTGTCCCATCAGCAGCCTGTGCAGATTGTAGCTGATTCCGACAACAAGGAGGCTGGTGTGGTGCTGCGTCAGCAGCCTATGCAGCTGGCGCTCAAGTCGGACAGTGAGGAGGCTGTAGAAGATGTGGTGCCAGAGGTCGGGATTCAGCCAGGGCCTTCAGAACCTCCAGAAGCTCCTTTAAGTGAAGAGGAAGAAGAAGAGGAGCCTCTTCTCAATGCACGGGCACGCAGAGCTGCCAAAAGGCAGGAGTGGCTCCTCAGGTGGAGGTCTCCTCGAGAGTAAGGCTTGGGGCTAATTGGCCACTCCCTTAGCCTATTTAAGAAGGAACACCGCTTGCAACAAGCTGTAGAAAACAACTTTAGTTCACTCTCCTTCGTGTCTGCAAAATTGCTTCTGGGCTTTCTGCCACCTTTCCTTATCTTAGAATTCTGGTAGGCTGTTAATTAATTAATTTATTTACTAGCTGTACCCGGCCACGCGTTGCTGTGGCCCAGTCTGATGGTTCCGCTGGGCTAAAAGAGCGAGGCTGAAGTTCCAAACTCTCCACGAACATTTGGTGGGCGTGGCCAACTCGACATCACTCACTTTCATCAGTCATATGACAGCCCCCGAGCCACGCCTACGCAGCTGGTGATTAGGGCAGAGAACCGGTTGCTAAAAAACTATGGGGACCACAAAATCCTCCCTCTCTGTCTCCCCCTCTCTCTCTGTATCTCTCTGTCTCTCTCTCCCCCACTCTGTATCTCTCTATGTGTCTCTCTCTCCTGCTCTCTCTGTATCTTTCTCTTTTCCTCCCTCTCTCTGTATCTCTCTCTGTCTCTCCCCCTCTGTATCTCTCTATGTGTGTGTCTCTCTCCCCCTCTCTGTATCTCTCTATGTCTCTCTCTCCCCCCTCTGTATCTCTCTATGTCTCTCTCTCCCCCCCTCTGTATCTCTCTGTCTCTCTCTCTCCCCCCCCTGTATCTCTCTATGTCTCTCTCTCCCCCTCTCTCTGTATCTCTATGTCTCTCTCTCTCCCCCCTCTCTCTGTATCTCTCTCTGTCTCTCTCTCTCCCACCCTCTATCTCTGTATGTGTCTCTCCCCACCCCCCATCTCTCTGTATTTCTTTATGTATCTCTCTCCCTCTCTCTCTGTTTATCTCTGTCTCTGGCCCAGCCTCTTCTGCATCCCCCGCCATCGCCCTTACCTTTTCAGGTCAGGCCTTTGCAGCTCTCCGCACCACAGCATGTTATGTTAACAATATATTTGTTTCTACTCTCCTACCTATCTTAAGCTAGAGCCCATTACTTTAATTTACAACTATTTATATTTTATAGAATTATGAATTTCTATATCTAAGTTTCTATTGCTATGTTTGTAGCACTATATTTTTCTTATCTGGTTTTGAGCTCTTTAAATCTTTCCAATCGAATCCAATCAATCTTTAATACAGGTAGTCCTTAATTTACAACCACAACTGAAACCAAAATCTACATTGCTAAGTGAGAAATTTCTTAAGTGAGTTTTGCCCCATTTTACCACTTTTTTTTTGTTGCCACATTTGTTAAGTGAATCACAGCAGTTGTTAAATTAGTAACCCTGTTGTTAAGTGAATCTGGTTTCTCCATTGACTTTGCTTGTCAGAAGGTTGCAAAAAGTGATCACATGACCCAGGAACAATGCAACCGTCATAAATGTAAGTCAGTTGTCAAGCAGCTGAATGTAAATCACATAACCATGGGGATGCTACAGTGGTCATAAGCATGAAAAATGGTAATAAGTCACTTTTTTCAGTACTGTTGTAACTTCAAATGGTCAGTAAGTGAATTGTTGCAAGTCGAGGACTACCTGAGTCTTCGGTATCTGGACTGCTGATATTTTTTTGTTGATATATTTTGGAATTATACCTAGTGAAAAATTTGTGATTTAATTTTCAAAATTCATGTGGTAAAATGTTCATTTTCTTTCATGGCATTGCCAACATTTGTTACTAAGTAATTTATCTATCCTGGAAATTGTTGATGGAGTGACATTTCATAACCAGTTTGCTTTTCCCCAAAATTCCCTTCATCTGTGCTTCCTATAAGTATTCAAGTATATATGTGCAAATGCCCATTTTTAGACATTTCATTCAGTAAAAACACAACTGCAGCTGTGGTGTAGTATGTTTCCTCAGAGAACAGAGCAACAATTTTTATAGCATTTTTAAATATGTAAATGTATGTGCTACCTGAGTCTTCTGTATCTGGACTGCTGATATTTTTTTTGTTGATATATTTTGGAATTATACCTAGTGAAAAATTTGTGATTTAATTTTCAAAATTCATGTAGTAAAATGTTGGTGTGTTGGTTTTACATCCAGAGGTAGCGCTGTTTTTCAATGTTTTTCAATTTGTCAATGTCTTTCAATGTTTTCCAATGTTTTTCATGTTTTTACCTGTCACAGGTGTGACATGTATATACTATAGGTATATAAAAACACGCCCGTAATCGAATGCAACGTTGTGTCAAAATTTGAAAGCAATCGGTGAAGAACTTTCAGAGATGTGCGGTTATGTACAAACGGACATTTACATTTTTATTTATATAGATTTATTGGTTCGATTTATATGCCACCCTTTCTCCGGAGACTCAGGGTGGCTTACAATGCGTTAAGCAATAGCCTTCATACTTTTGTATATACCTGCTTAGTAGGGCTTTCGCCCCCTCACCCAAGCGGTGTTCTTTTTTATACAAAGTCAGCTTATTTCCCCCACAATCTGGGTCCTCATTTTACCTACCTCGAAAGGATGGAAGGCTGAGTCAACCTTGAGCCTGGTGAGATTTGAACTTGCAGTAATTGCAGGCAGTTGGTGCTACTTAACAGCACTTTAGTCTGCTGCGCCACCAAGGCTGTTAACACCAACTGTTAAGACAGTTCTTTAACAGCCTTTGAATGATAAAGACTAAGTTATTTGAGGAAAATAAGCTTTGTATAGAGTTTGTGTGTGCTGCGTTCTTTGGGGTCCATAGCTGGGGCAGAACAAGGACATTGTCCAGGTTCCATCTGTTCTTATCATTTCTATAGGCTTTGGAAGGATTTTCTTGCCTGTTTGGGACAATTATCTTGAAATTCTTGATGTGTCTAATATTTGGAATATCTGACGATGTAAGTTAAAACTTAGTTTTTATTTTTGCTATCAGAGTAATGTTTGTATATTTTGTATTCTATTCTGCTAATATGTATAACGTTAAAATTTCATATTAAATGCCATTGTTTTATTTGAAGTTGTAAAAAATATACTTGAGAACTATGCCTATGAATAGAGTATTATAGTGTAGTTTAAAAAGTAAATTAATACTATGTTTACATCTATTAATTAATCACCCTCCTTAAATATCTTTATCTTTCATTGGGTGTGCTACCTGAAGAAAATTATGGAACACAGCAATCATTGTGCAGTAGTAGGTTATTTGACAGTTTATAAATGTCTTAAACTATGGCTATATCAGGTGTACTCTCTGAATGATGTAGTTGAGTTTCACAGCGCTTTTCCTTGGAGATTTGAAGCAAGTGTCAAGTAATACATATCCTGCTCTTGGAATGAAAAACTAAGCCTCCATTTGTTACCGACACCCAGAAGCTACTGACACTTTTGCAGAGGCATTCTTCTGCTCCTTTTTCCTTGGCTCTTTTATGGTGGTGGACATGCTGGGAATTATGTAGGTTGCACATTTTGTTGCTCACAGTGAATTGCAGAAGTATCTGGTTCAGATTATTAAAAATAGGGGATAAGAGACACTTATATTAAGTGTAATAATGATAGAAATAATTAATCAAAATCTTTTTAATAAATAAATAATGAGAATAGAAAGCATAATTGAACTCCAAATAACTTAGGCAAATAAAAGGGGAAAACCCATACATTGTTTTATGAGTTGTGAGAATAAATATATTCCTGTAGTGATTTACCAGCAGTATTTTAGGCAGCATTAAATTATTTATTTATTTAGCAGCATTTCTAAACTATTCAAGTCTTGAATTGTCTGGTGGAAAATAGTGAAAACAAGAAGAAAAGTCAAATTCAAATTTTGATTTTGAATAGTATAATTAGTACAAAATAGTATAATTAGAACAATAAATCATATAAATCATAAAATCTACTTTGCCCTTCTGTCAGTTTAAGCCAAAGACTTGGTGGGAAAGACCTCCAAAAGGAGAGGACTGTCTCAAGTAGAGATTATTATTAAGAACACCTGCCATCTTGTTGACATCTATGTATCTCACAAACAACAGAGATTCTTAGCAGGCCACCTCTGGGACACCAGATTGGATGGGTATATTCTATTCAATAAAGTATTGTTTCACATAATCCAGTACAATATTGTGTAGGGCTTTAAAAGTAACAGCACTTTAAATATGCATGGAAGCCTACTAGTAACAATGCACCAACTTTAAAATTTGTGTAATTTTTAATCAGCAGATTCATTCCATTACCAATCTTGTCACAATAACTTTGCATTAGTTGTAGCTTCCAGGTCATCTCCAGTGGCTGCCACAGAGCTAGTTACAGAGTAATCTAGACATGAAATGCTGTTTCATGGAAAGGAGACGTAAATAATGTGGAAATAAATACAGTGAAACATATATGCCTTCCAATTTCCTAGCCTTTTTAAAATTAGAATTCTGCCCACTTCTTGCAGTGTATTCTGATATGACAAACAAAACTGAATGTAGTTATCAGTCAATAATGGTTACTTCCCCATTTTACATTACAGCTCACATAATACTAATTTGTCTAAGAAATGCTTCACTGTTATTTTTTTCAATTAGGTCCATATAAGTAATTTGTTAAAAGCAAAACTTACCGGTTATAGAGATTTTGATACATCAATGTATACTTGTGCTGTGGAGTTTGATTTCATGGAAAAAGAGGTAAGTATAATTGATTCATTTATTCAATACATTTCAATCCTTTTGCAATTAAGATTAAAATACTAATCTATTGATATAGGTAGGTTTTTGACTTACAACTAAAATTGGGCCATCACAGTACTAAGTCGTGATAGTTGTAAACAAATTGGCCATATGTCAGACCAAATTTTATAACTTATTTTTTGTCAGTTGTTAAGCAAACCAATGGTTCACTATGGGTGCGGTTTTGGCAAAAACTGGAAGTAGGTACTGGTTTTCAGTAAAACATGCAGCCACATGATGACAGGGCACTGCAAATGGCTATAAATGTAACCATGTTGCTGAGGTCTCAAAGTTCAGTCATGTGGCTAGAGGAACAATTTCTGGAACTTCAAATATGGATTTTAACTAGTCCCAGTGTAGGTGTGTTATAACTTCAAATGGTTACTGGGTACTAAGTTACTGGTCTTAAATCAAGGACTAACTGTAGTAAAAAACCTTTTAAAACATACAATTTTTAATCTGTCTTTTTTCTACTTTGCCAGCTCACCTCCATCCAAAATGATATTTTGGCTAGACTGTATATATGTGTTTTTGTGTATGTACAAAAGCGGAGAAACTTCAAAAACTCTGTCTAAACACTATTCTGAATAATTAGCATATGATTGACAAAGTGCTCAATTCTCACACATGGGAAATTTATATACTATATACATTAAGGGCGAAGTTAAGAAAATGCTATTCAGTTTAAAAGTGAAATTCTAGTTTAAATAGTTTCACTTATATAAAAGCCAATTAAATTCTACTTCAAAACAAGCCCCATCTAGCATAATAGAAATGATCAATGAAATGAGTTCAGAATAAATGCATATTTATTTATTATGGTCCAAAGGCTTCCCAGTCCAAACCAAAATAGTTCGCTAAATATGTATTGCTGAAGTGATAGGCATAAATAAGAATTATTTCTGAATGGGAATTGATCATTTAAAGTATACAAAATAATCCACATGAATCCAATGGAGAATCCTTTGTAAATAGAAGATTCTAAATCCTGTGATGTGTTTATATCAGTGGTGGGATTCAAATAATTTAACAACCGGTTCTCTGCCCTAATGACCGGGTAGGTGTGGCTGGGCGGTCATGTGACTGGGTGGGCATGGCCAACTCGATGTGCTTCTCCCCCCCGAGGGGGATCTCCTTTGGGCTTTATCCTGGGATACCAAGACGAAGTACATGAGCTCTGGAAACCCAGCAAAAAGCCTAGTCTGTCTTTGCATGGAATTACAGGCAGAGCAGGAAGTTTGCCTGGCTCCAGCCGGGGAAACTTCCATCTCTGGCCTCAACTTTTCTCTGCCAGGTAAGAATTGGTGGTGGCGGGAACATCTCCCTCTGCTTACCCGCCCAATGCCATTCATGCAGACTCCTGCAGGAGTCTAGGGTGCAAAGGAAAACGCTGAGCGGCTACTGCAGGACAATGTACAGCAACACAGCCTGAAACTGAGCCCCTGCAAAACCCACTGCTCTGGCGGCGTGGCAGTGATATCACCCATGCCTTAAAAGAAGTGAACCCTGGACCAGAAGGGAGTCCCCCACCCCACCAAGGGCTTCCCGAGAGTGCAGCCCAGTCTGGCGCGGTGCAGGGATGTGAGCGCGTGGGGAAAGCTCCCTGCTGGAGCCTGGGCAGACAGCCCGCTGCAATCTCATTTCACATCTCCACCCATGCAAGTTTGCTAACAGAAGCAACTGTGTTTGCAGCTGGTTTTCACTGGAAGCGCGGCACAAATTGCATGGCCTCTTGAGCAAAGGAGCTCCCAGAAATGGATTTTTTACAGCTGCCTCTTTTCTCAGTGTGCATGAGAAGTTACACCCACCACTCTTTCCATGGCAACCATAGGAGCTGCAGGAGGAGGGGGGCTGCTGTATAATCCTTGGATGGTTTGCAATGCTATGGTTCCAGATGAGAGGAAAGGGAGAATAACGCATTTCAGATGAATACCAATGAAGGGGAACGTTCCCTGCTGACCCTCAGGGGAAACTCCCCTTCCTCTCACACACAGTTCCAGCCCAAACTTCTGCACGCAACTGCGGCCAACGCACTGGCCCCTGAGTGTGACGGGCCCGGAGTGATCTCCCTCCCTCGCTGCTCACACCACTATGCTTATTGCAGCTGTTTGCGAAGGTGAGGCCGACGGCAGGGGAGAGACCCACTCCGGGCCTGCTGCTCTCAGCCAAAGGGCACAGGCCACCCTGGGGGACATGGCAAGGTTCGTCCACCTTTTGGGCCCGTCTCACAGCTTCTGCAGGGCCTCCGGGTGACTGCCTCCCAATTGCCCTCCCCTCCACCTTGAGTCCCAAATCCAGCCCATGATGGGAGGACGTGTTGCTTTCAGGCCAGCCAAGTGGTGAGCGAGCAGCTTGCAGAGCACCATTCTAGGGCCAAGTCTGCTCCGGTGCACTGAGGTGCGTGCATACAACCTGGGACATCCACCCGCCAGGCCAAGAGTGCTGCCACCAGGCTCTGGCCCCATTTGGATCTGAAGGGCAGAGCAGCTGGCCTGGCGGAGATATGTGGAAACTTTGGAGCCCCTCGAGACTGGTCTTCAGGATGGATCCGGTCATCCAAGGCTTTGCTGTCCGGGAAGGGCTCTGTCATGGAGGGCTGTGTGCCCGGTCCAGGCACTTTCTCTCAGGCCTCCCGTCCAGAGGCCTTGCTGAAGCTGAGAGCTGGGCCTGAAAGCAGCTGAGCCGAGCCTCCTCCCCCCCCCCCCACCTGGCCCGGCAGCCCTTCAAGGTGGCCCTTCAGCCGAGCATAGCAAGCCTGGAGTGGGTCTCCCTCCCTCGCTGTTGGTCTTGCCTTCTCAGGCCAAGCAAGGAGTGGCTGGGAAGGGAGTGGGGGGCGGGGCCAGACAGTGGTGGGATAAGCCAGTTCACCGAACTGCACAAAAAGATAGCCACCAGTTAAGCCGAACTGGTGCAAACTGGCTGAATCCCACCACTGGTTTATATGATGTCTTTCTAGAATGATTTTCCTAATGCAAAAAATATAAATTAAAAAGTTTCATTTTAAATGAAGGAATTTTACAAAATAAACTTGCATATGAGCCTAGCTGAGGCAGAAGTTTTTAAGTAGAAAGGAGGGAGACAGAAATCCATAGATGTGATAGTTGAAAATGCCAGACAAAATAAAACACTAACTTATTAATTGTGACTGCTTACTAACAATGAATTTTTTTACAGTTTTATTGTAAAATTTCTCTACATAAAAGTTTCTTTAATTTCAGACTCCAGTTAGATATATGAAGACGCTTCTGCTTCCAGTAGTCCTTATTGTTTTTTCAGTAATTGTTGTAAAGGTATGTCATCACTCTTTTTTCTTTTACCTTTAGCATATTGTGTCACATGTTAAAACAAAATAGTTCCTGGAGATCAAATTCAAGGTCCAGTTTTCAACTACCCAATTTTGGTGGAACAATCCCAGGGATCCTACCATCCACAGAAAAACAATTTAGGGGTTGAATGCATTATCAACTTTCGTTATTCATAAATGCAGATGAATACTACAGGTTTGAATGTATTGAATAGTATACACTCTTAGGCAAAAAACATCAGAATGAGTCTTTACACCTTTTCCTGCCCTGAAAAGCTTCCCAGCAGATTAATTCATAAGTTTATAGAAATATTGCTAGGCCTCATTTAGTGATTGCAATTTGTTTCAATGAAATGGTTGCTAGGCACACCATTTATCAGAGAAAGTGAGAAACTGGGAAGATTGCTGGTTGCTGCCATCTAATTCAGATAAAATTCTCTCACACAGTGTCCTTTGATCTGGTTTTTCCCCCTTTTTTCCCTCCTCTCAGCTATCTCTTCCGGAACTGTTTCTCTGCAGTGTAGCAGTTCCCTAAAAAGTGCTAACTGCAAGTTAAGAAGCTGAGCTCTGTGGCATTAATTAGTTGATTGGAACCCTTAGTTGGCAGTTGCTGTCTGAAATTGACCAAACTTTAATTAATTTCACATGGAAGGTATTTTTGTAGTAACTGCACATATTGGTTGGAAAATTATTTTTATTACCGTTTATTACTGTTATATTTACAAATGATCACTATCCAAGGCAGTTACCAAATGAGGACTTCTTGTGCAGAGGGTCTTGTGCAGAGGGTGCGAAATGGAGGAATTATTTGAAATTAGCTATTATGTGCAAAATACTTTTATTAATTGTAGATGATTTTCCCTCCATCCCACCCCAATTCGTACTATAATTAAGAAAGTCACATTTTAGACTTTTTGTCTGATGCTGTAGATAAGCTTTTCAGGTGATATAAAGAAATGTATCAAAGGAGAAGGGGAAAGGAAAAAAAATTACTTCCACACATTTTCCTTCCTCTCACTTTTCAGTTATACCTAATAGATTTATTTAGTCTTTTTGCAATAATGTGATAGAACAAAGTCTTGCCCATTCAGATATGAATGATCAAGTTATTGTGTAAAGCAGGGGTGTCAAACTCACGTCGTCATGGCAGTGTCACATGACATATCAGGACTTTTTTCCCCTTCTCTAAACCATGTGTGGGTGTGGCAGAGGTGGCATTAAGCCAGCTCACAGAGGTTCGCGTGAATCGTTGGCAGAAATTTGGCCAAGGTTGCCGAACTGGTAGCGATGGCCAGATGGCCATGCCCCCAAATCAGTTCCCCGGTTGCCGCTCACTTGCCCCACCCCGCATGTTCGTCGCCGCCATCCCATTGTCTTGCAAATCCAATGGGATGCGCATGGATGAAGAAGATGGTGCCGATGGCAGCAGCTTTTTCTGCGACCTCCAGTACTTTTCGACAGCCTGTGGCCAGCTGCCACCTCTTTGAGAGCCGCTTTGTGGCTGCGGTGGCTGGATGGGGGCTGCCGAAAACTCCGGTCAGCTTGACTTCTGGACTCTAGACCAGCCACCACAGAAGGTAAGCAGCCGGAACAAAGAGGCGATGGTGGTGGAGGAAGTGGGGCTAGGGCCAGGGCTGCTAAAAGAGGGGAAACGGGAGTGACTGGCAAAGGGAGGGAGGAGGGAGATAGGTGGAAATTCCAAAAATTTTCCTACCTTTTCCTGTGGGGGTAGCTAGGTGGGGGGGGTTGTGTGACTGAGTGGGCGTGGGTGCCATCAAGTTGGCCACATCCACTCAGTCACATCCCCCTAGCCGTGCCCACCAAACCCAGTAGTGAAAATTTTTGAAACCCACCACTGGGGTATGGCCATTGCGTGATGCATCCAGCCCATGGGCCAGGAATTTGACAGCCCTAGTCTAAAGTAATGTAGTGCCATGACCACATAAATGATTAGCAGTAGGTATCTCTTCCGATGTAATTCATACATGTCCTTAGAGAAAAAAGTGTTAACTTGTTTATTTTTTAATCGATGTTTCATAGGCATTTCAATGTGTTATGCTTAAAAAGAAATCCTCTGAAAGGTAAATATATTTTTATTGAAGATCCAATTAGAGAAATACCATTAGTAATGTTTTGTATCTTTAAAAGTATAAAGGATTCCTGTATCTTTAGCATCAGTTTGTCATTTTTTCTAGATATTAATCACATGGCTGGTTTCTTTTTCTAATATTACATACCTTGCACACAGTAAAATTTACTTCCTTTCTTGGCTCTGGGCTTATAGAAGCATCCTTCACAACACAAAAATATCATGCAGGCATGAAGTTCCCAATTCTGAAAACTAGTTTGGATGTTCTGTATTACAGTAGGCTTGAAAGTTTATTGTTTAGAGAGCAATGGGAAAAGTTCTATATCCAGATGTTTATGAAAGGCAACTGTTAAATAAAATATAAGTACCATGCTTTGTATTATGTCATATAAAGTTAAAGCACTTTTAAATAAATAAATAACCTACTGTATAAATTCATCTACCCTATCATATATTAAGTACAGGTAGTCCTCGATGTGCAACCAGTGACTTAATGACTATTCAAAGAGGGACTCCAACAAGAAAGCTAAAGAATGCTTTTTCCAGTCTCTTTACTGTTCAGAAAGATTATATTTTCTAACCAGAAAGCTAGTGAATGCAATGTTTCTGAAGGCTTTGAAAAGCTAGCACACAGAGTGGAAAGTAACTGCCACATTGGATCAGAAAAAGGAAGCTTGGGTCTTTGGGATCCAATCTTCTTTTCTCTGGCCCAGAGCAGGAATTTCCTTCTGTGCATGGATGGGAGGGAAAGGCCTGCAATGGGCTGGACAAACAAAGCTCGGATCTTTGTGGTCTGAGCTTCCTTTCTCTGGCCCAGCACAGGAATTCCATTCTGCACATACAATACAACTGTCTGCCCTGTTTTAACAGGCAGCTCTTTTGCTCCGTGCACTTAATGATATGCATGGTCACTTAGTGACTGCAAGTGGCTGGGTTTTTTTAAATATATTCAATGACAGGAGCAATGGCTCAGCAGTTAAAGATGCTGAGCTTATCAGCTGTTCAAGACCTGAGCGCTGCATAAAGTGTGAGCTCCCATTGCTTGCCCCAGCACCGGTCCACCCAGCAATTTGAAAGCATGCAAATGCAAGTTGGTAAACAGGTACCACTTTGGTGGGAAGGTAACAGTTTTCTCTGTACCTCGATGTACAGTCATGCTGGCCACATGACCACAGAAATGTCTTTGGACAACAGTGACCCCCTTGGTTAAGAAATTGAGATTAACACCATTCCCCTGAATCAGGCACAACTGGAAAGGGGAAAACTTTACCTTTACCTGTATTCAATGAGAAAATCATGTTTACGTTGTTCTCAGATAAGTTTAGTTGCAAATCTTCTACAACAACATCTTCTGGGAATAGACTGTTCCTGATAAACACAGTACCACTGACGTTGATTCAATGTTAATACTTTTAAAAAGTAAAATAGGAACACTAATGTCATGATTTCAGTTATTTAAACATCTGTATAATTTTATAATTGTTTCTTTGTAAGGAGATGTATTCTACAATTTTGTTATATATTAAAATATATAACTTCTCATTAACAGACCTAAAGTAGCTCAGAAAATAATGCAATTAAGACACTAAATTAATATTAAAATCAAGAATTAAATTGCATAAGTTTTAAAAAAATCCTTAAATGACAGACATTGTAACAGTTAATAGCTAGGAAAAGCCAATATAAAAAAGTTGTGTTAAAAAAAAGATACCTAAAAATTTCAACATTTCAACCTAATGTACTACAGAGGGAAAGATCTCACATTTTCTCTCAAGTTCATTTTTATATTTGTCACCAAATGACAATCTTCAAACTGTAACTGGAAGCGTATGATATCATCTGATGATTGTAAATGTCTATGAGGCTGATATAACTAAAATGTTTAAGGTAACATGTAATTTATTTTACTTTACTTTTACTTTTATTAGACTTCTATACCGCCCTTCTCCCGAAGGACTTAGGGCGGTGTACAATTTACAAAATTTAAAAACCATTAAAATCAAATATACAAAAATTTGGCCCACAAATTAAAAAAAAACTTACATACACCCATTAAAATTCATATTCATGTTAGGCTAGCCCGGCTTGTTGAAACAAGAGGGTCTTCAGGGTGCAGCGAAAGGTGCAGGTCGGGGATCATACACACATCTAGGGGCAGCTCGTTCCAGAGGGCTGGTGCCCCCACAGAGAAGGCTCTCCCCCTGGGCATCGCCAGTCAACATTGTTTGGCCGACGGCACCCTGAGGAGCCCCTCTCTGTGGGAGCATATTGGCCGGTGGGAAGCTGTCCGTGGCAGAAGGCGGTCTCGTATATACCCCGGTCCTAAGCCATGGAGCGCTTTAAAGGTGGTGACCAACACCTTGAATCGCACCCGGAAGACCACTGGGAGCCAGTGCAGCTCGCGCAGGAGGGGTGTTACATGGGTGCGACGAGTCGCCCCCATAATCACTCGCGCGGCTGCATTCTGGACCAGTTGGAGCCTTTGAGTGCTCTTCAAGGGGAGCCCCATGTAGAGAGTGTTACAGTAGTCCAGACCGGATGTGACGAGGGCATGAGTGACTGTGCGCAGAGCATCCCGGTCCAGAAAGGGACGCAACTGGCGTATCAGGCGAACCTGATAAAAAGCTCCCCTGGCCACGGCCGTCATAAGATCTTTCAAAGACATCCGTGTATCCAGGAGAACACCCAAATTGCGAGCCCTCTCTGAGGGGGCCAAGATGTCGCCCCCAATAGTCAGCGATGGAACCAGCTGACTATACCGGGACGCCAGGAGCCATAGCCACTCGGTCTTGGAAGGGTTGAGTCTGAGCTTCTTTCTTCCCAACCAGATCCGCACAGCCTCCAGGCACCGGGACATCACGTCAAGGGCATCATTGGAATGGTCCGGGGTGGAGATGTACAGCTGGGTGTACATCTCTAGGGTTTTGTTTATTATTTTATAGACCAATTGATTAACCTTGTTTCTTTTATTCCAGACAGGAGTATTATTTTAACCAGGGTGAGGTAAGGATCTCATTCTCTGTTTTCTTTCAATATACAATTTAGATTTATTCTGCACAGCACTGTCTTGTTTTAAAAATATTTATTTAAAATAAAATGAAATTTTATGCATTTTTTAAAAAGTTAATGTCAAATTAAAGGAATAAGAAAACTAACATAAGGTAATCCAAGGTAATCCAGTTGTTTGCAGAATAGTTTTTATAATGCTAAATTGCTACTTTGAGGCATATTATGGAATTAACAGTATATTTAATTGTTTCTGTGGGGGGAAAGGGAAAAAAAAGGCATTGACTTCCAAATCTTCTTAGCATAGTACAAGATAAAAACATTCCAACCTTAAGTTTTTGCTTTTTACATATAAATATATAACTATTTCTATAACGAGAAATATTTCTGATCAACAAAACCAAAGTCAAAGTTTCATTTTTTTTTCATCACAAACACAAAATCCAGAAGTGATATCCAAATGAGAATATATTTTCCTCTTTGAATAAAATAAAATAATAAATATAAATCTTTATATTTCTCCGTCAGCTTTTTTTCCTCCCACCATACTTCCTTATTTGGCTTGCCTTCTTCCTTTTTTTTTTTAAAGTATTTTTTTTTTATTTATTTATTTTCCAACATAAACATTAAATATCTTTTAAGAGCGAAGTTTCGATCCCGTCACAGAGAGGTACAATTGCTTACATTTTTAAAAGAAAAAAGAAAAAAAAAGAAAAAACTCCATTCACAATTTCCCATTACATCTTTTAAAATTAAAAATCAGAACATTAAAAAAAACTTTTTTAACATGAATTCTAATATCTTGATCAGAACTATTCTATTATATTATCACCAATTTAATTTCCTAAAGAAGAAAGCCTTAATTCATTTTTATATCCACTTATAAATTCAATATATCTGGTTCTTTCCCAACTTCCCTTCATTAAACCTTTTAACAACAATATCAAAACTTTTTTTAAATATTCTAACCTCTTAATTTGATTGATTACCTTACAATTTTATCACCACACATCTTAATTTCAAATTGAATACAGCTCTATTTTTGTTTCAATTTATACGTGAAAGTTCTATCTATATTTCTTAATATCTAGACCCTTTCAACAGATCTCTGAATCTTAAGCTTTAACAGTTTACCTTTAATTTTACACATTTCATATTAGACAAATTTATCTCAACATCAGTATCCTCCTCCATAACTCCTACTATTGTTTGACTGATTTCCAGCATCTTTTATTTTGGCTGATTTATAGCATACTCTCCTCCATACCTCCGATTTTTGTTTACCTGATTTACAGCATGTTCTATTTTGGCTGATTTCCAGCATAGTCTCCTCCATACCTCCTTCCATTGTTTGGCTGATTCCCAGCATACTCTATTTTGGCTGATTTCCAGCATAATCTTCTCCAGACCTCCCATTGTTATTTGCTGATTTCCAACATATTCTATTTTGGCTGATTTCCAGCATATTCTCCTGCAAATCTCCATCTCTTGTTTGGCTAGTATTACCAGCATGTTTTCCTCCACTCCTAGATCTATTATTTTAGCTGTTTTATTTGACAAATTCACAGCCTATTACATAGTTGCTTTTGCAGCGTATTCTCCTCCGTATCTCCCCCCAATTTTATATAAACATGTATTTCAACAACTACCTTCTCACATATTTTCTCCTACGTTGTAAATTTCCCTTAAAATCTTCTCTCTTCATATTTATTCTTATTTTTCTATAGAAATTACATTTTTTCCGCTTTAAAAATCACTTTCCTCTCTTTATTCAATCTGTAAATATTTCTTATTGAAATTCAAAATTTCATTTAAGCATTAAGATATTTAAAGAAACATATTTTCTTTCAATCATTTATAATCATATTTCATGACCAAGTTAATATTTATATATTTATATAGTCAAGTTCAGTAGAAATGGAAGTAAGAAATAAAAAAGAAGACAGAGAAAGAGAGAAGAAAAAGAACAAAAGTAAAGCGGAAGAGAATAAGAAAAAAGAAAAAAAAAGAAAAGAAAAAAAAAAACAAAAGAGAAAAGGGAGAAGGAAAACACTTCCTAACAGTATTCAGACCTCAAATGAGCATTAATCATTACATTTCCATTTTAATCAAACTGTATTATTTTTCTTGTCTTACTACCCACTATATTCCATTTCTTCTTTTTCCAATCTGTCCAAAACTACTACTTTTCAATTTCAACGTTATCAGAGTTAAAAGTTCTATAAAGTTTAGTTCTTTTGTAGTAGCTATTCCATATAGTATTATCATCTCTTCTTCTGTTGTCACGCCTTTTTCTTTTGTTGCTGCACCTGTTAGTTCAGTTTTAATTGTTCCATTTTATTTCTATCCATCAATAAATTCTCCAATAGACAGGTTGGATATCTCCAGAATCAAACCTCCTTAATTTTTTCCAAAGTTTAAATTTAATCCAGTTTAAATAGCAAGACACATAGTTTCTCCTTCAAATCGCAAACAATCCACAATTTGCACTTTCATTTCATCACAGCTAGTATTCATTTTGTCTATTACCACTTGTCTTTTCCATTTACTTTGAAAAGTTCCTATTTGTCGCCTCTTCCCTCTTTTTCTCTTCACAAGTAAGCCATTCCCATTTGAAAAAGAAAGTTTCAAATTTTTATATCTTTCCAGGAAAACGATTATTCCAAAAGAGACAGTAGTTGCAATAATCCATTAAAGGGTCTTTTTCTCCTGTTAATTGTTTGGTTGAGTCATCTTGCCCCGATAGTTTGTAGCTGCTAATTAAGGCGAGGGGCACACTTGTTAATAGTCATCATTTAACCGCTGCTCCCGCCTGGGTTGGATCTCACTCACCCGGCTTCCGAGCTCTTCGCTTTTTTTCCTGCTTCTTCCTCCTGCACAATGCTTTCCTGGTTGGCCCCGGCTTCGAGGCAGCCGCCATGGCTGCCACTCCCCCGCAGCCGGCGCAGAGGGCTTCCTCTGGCCCCGAGGAACCTGCCCGTTCCTCTCGGCTGTCCGAGGGGTCCCTCCAGGTCAGGGTAGGTCCTCAGACTCGGCGGCGGCTCAACAGACGGGGTTTTTGTGGGGCTCATTAGAGCCCCACTATTTCCCCGTCTAGATCGCCGCGGCACCAACCGGAAGTCCCGTTTCCCTTCTTCCTTGTTGTTTAAGAAAAAAAGAAATCCCTAAAATGGCATGAGTCTTCAAAAAGGCTTAGCAAGCTGTGACTAAGGAGAGCCTCTTTTAACTTGACTTTAAAAAGATTAATAGTCTTTGAAGGTGATTAAGAAGAGAAATGCACAACATTTGAAAGGTGAATTTCAAAATGGCAGCTTTTCCAACCTCGAACAGATTTCAACCTCTCCCCTCCAGCTTTTGGCATGCAAATAGCTTTGGAGTTCAACTCCAGAAGCCATTTCCCAGCTTTCAACTGTTTTGGTGGGTTCCAAGGCAAAGTTCTTCAACTCACCCTGACCGGGTGGGTCATAAAAACTGAAGGAATGTCAGTCCCTTTAGTTAAAGGCTGAAGAGCTACACCCCAGGGAAAAATTCTTCAGAGATTTCTTCCCGGGTCTGTATTTTAGTTGGCCATCTTCCTGGAAGTCCCTTTGCTGTTTTTTTCTAAAATACATAATTTTAGTTCAAACTACAAAAAGTTTACATTTTCAAAATTATAGTATGCCCGGGAGAATAGGATTCAATAAAAATTAGATGTTATTTAATGCTTATGTACCATACACCACATTTAAAAACAATTGTATTTTCTGATGCTCTCCTTTATTTGCAGATCGTATACCATGCATTGCAACTCATTTTTTTTACTATACTTGCCATTTTAATAATGAGACTAAAGTTGTTTCTGACTCCACATATGTGCATTATGGCATCCTTGATATGCTCAAAACAGGTAAATTATTGCTTCATTGTCATACTATTATTAGTATAGTGACATAACATATTTTATGGGGTAAGTGATAATACAGGTAGTCCTTAACAGAGCCTAAAATGGCACTTTTCAAATGATTTGAAATTCCAGTGGCAGCCTTCCATGATGTGAATGCATTTAAGGTGCTCAGCAACCAGCAAATATTTATAATCATTGCAACATCCTTGGTCATGTAATTGTGATTTACATTTTTGCCAGAAATTGATGTTTACTTCTCACTTGCTCATTTAATGAGCACCACAAAATAAGTCATAAAATCAGGCCGATCACATTATGATTGCCTTAACTACTGACATGACTTTAGTTTGGATTCAGTTGAAGATTTAAGTCAGGAACTACATATCTGCAATTTTTTTAATATAGTAGTTTAAATTGTCTTTGTAATAGAGCACACCCTCTCTTACTTTGGAAACATAATTTATTTCCCTAAATAAGAAGTGAAATGTTTGCTAAGTGAACAATTTGACAGAGAGAGAGAAAGACTGCAAAAATTCTGTCATGCCGCAATACCAGCCTTATTTTTACCCCGATTTACATTGTTGTGAGGCACATAAAATTTCTTTTTAAGTTTGCAGATTGATCAGAAAATGTTTTTAAATTTATTGTATTTATGAATAGTTGTTAAATGAAGCTGGTCATTGAAAAGTTGCTGTAAATGAATGTACAGAAACATGGATAGAATAATATAAATACATTATATTTGAAATATATAAAATACCTACAGTATATCACAGTACCATTTTTTCTACATTGTGCATGATAGTAACAAGTTTCTTTCCAGTTTTAAGAAACATAAATTATTTTCAACCCACCCATAGGGATTCTAATAAAAAGGTAAAAGTGCTAGTTAAATGCTTGGGTAATGAAATGTTATGCAAAGCTTAGTGTGGCCCTCAGGCCAATGTTGCACACTATTATCTTTTATTCTATTTGTGTGGCACAAAGTATGTGTATCATCACTATCTAATATGCAATGTGGAATATATCATCTAATATATCATGCATATGTCCTACATATGCAACACTGTCAAAAAACATCTCAACTCAAGCAATAAAGAAAAGTCATTTATTACAAGACAAACAATAGAAAGAAAAAAGGTCTCAGGGTTCCCAGGCAAAACGCAGCAAGACACAGAAATAACCAATTTCGGTCTCTTTGGTTTAATGCTGGTTTAATGCGCGCTGACTCCAGGTTCACGCTGCAATCAAAACAATATGAATTCGGCGCTACAACCAGCTGGTTTGTGACGCTTAAATAGCCCTCCCCCTTAACTGTCACACCCATCGCCCCATCATGCTGTTCTGGTGTTATTAATCCATCGGCGAAACGAAGGTGGGGTGTCGGCAGGTCTTCCTGTCATCGCAAGCGGTCCGTGGGCGTCAGGCATTTCTTGTGCAAAGTCCCTAGCCCCAGCATACGTGCTCCCCTACACCCCGTACACGGCCGCCTAACACCCAGTGCCACCATCCCCCTTGTGAGTCATGGTCTGTTCCCTTCCGTTTCATTGCTTCCGTGTTAGCGTTGTCGAGCGCAAGGCTGGGCTCGACAAAAGGATTGTTTTGGAGGGAATAAGGAGAATGAAAGGAAGTGATTGAAAGGATTATAAATGTTGAAGGGATTTGGGTCAATTTGAATAAAAAATGAATAGGGAATATATTGCAGGATAGATATAAATCTGAAAAAGATAGATGAACAGTTGGAAAAAGAAAAGTTTGTTTTTTAAAAAAAAAAAAAAGCAGAAGAATACGTCTGAATCAGTTTTTTTTCCTCATCTCCTGTTTCAGTAGATTCTAATAAAAGAGTGAGGCATAAATAATGTATCACTCTTGCATTCCATCAAAGATTAAGGATAATATAGAACTAATAATTGAATCATTTCTTCAAAACTTACACTGTTGTGCAATCTAGTCCATTGTCTCATGGCACTTCCACCCAGTATTATTTCCACTCTTCAGTTCTTTTCAAATTATTTTGAAAAGGGTTATGGTTTTCAAAATGCAAAGAATAGGCAAGGAATATCATACGCTAATCAGTATTCTACCTCCAGGGAACCAGGAGGACAGGCAAAAAACCTCATTCAATCAGAACTTCTTAAGCTGTTTCTTGGAGCAAAAAACCCTCCAAACCCTCCACTGTTCTCAGTATGAAAATAAAATTGCTATTCTCTATCCCACTCTCAGCTTTTTAGAACACATTGTCTGCATTTGTTTGAACATTTGCAGAAGGATGTATGATAGTACTCTAAAGAATAGCTTTAAAGCCATCAAGTTATAATTTTGTTTTGTTCAAAACTGCATTGCTAACTGAAATGGTAAAAGGATGGCAGACTTCAATATTATAACCAGGCATTTTTCCTAGTCAGCAACAATTGTTTGTTGCTTCAATAGTTGAAGGAGAAGAGAGGGAAAGATAGAATTTAGAGAAGGTCATTATCCAGAATAAAAGAAATTACCATTTATATGGCATATACATCTGTCAGATCACAGATTAAGAGATTTAAGCAGTGAATGTATTGTCCCAAAGGTCCTTTTTTTCAGAAGGCAGGAGACTTTCTTATTTTTTTCTTTGCAGACATTTTGCTTCTCATCAAAGAAACTTCTTCAGCTCTGACAGGATAGTGGGGAATGGAGAGATTTATACTTCTTACAGACAGCTGGTCATGTGCATCCTTTTAGAGCAGAGATTCTCAAACTATGCCCACTGATACAATCTATCCGGCCCACACAGTGGTGGGATTAAGCCCCGCCCCTCGCCTCCCAGCCACTCCTTGTGTGGCTGGCTTTTCCTGCCGCCCTCATTGCTTCTCTTCCAGCCATCAACCTTATATATATATCTTTTTTTTTTTTTTAATTTGATTTATATGCCGCCCTTCTCCGGAGACTCAGGGTGGCTTACAATGCGCTAAGCAATATGCATACTTCTGCTCATAGCTGCCCGCGTATTTCTGCTCACCGCTGCCCATGCACTTCTACTTACTGCTGCTTGCAAAGGTAAGGCCGAAGGGCAGGGCCGGCAGGTGAGGGCAAGCTGGCGGAGTGGTTATACTGGTGGCCAGTGGACTGATGCACAGGGAGAGAGAGGAGTACTTGGGAGATGGTGGAATCGGAGCCCTTCCTGGGTGTTTCCAGAAGCCATGCTGCATAAGTTGGGAGGGAGGAGAGCGTGTGTGACAGTGCGTTTTCAGGTCTTCCCCGAGGTTTTTGCAGAAGCTGCCCAGCCTAAATTCAACTATCACATTTGAACTTTAGTTTTTAACTCTTTGCTTGCAAGAGACTCTCAGCAGCGCTGTGAAGCCTTTGCCTGGAACAAAAGGGGAAGGAACCATATGGACCCATAGAGAGGAGAAGAGAGGGGAGGGATGTTCACTGACAGCTTCTCTCAGTCTGTCATTACTTCCATGCTATAGTGATCCCTATTTGCCGCATAATGGTGTGGGCTCCTGTTACTTGTCCCAGCTTCTGCCAACCTAGCAGTTCGAAAGCATGTAAAAAATGCAAGTAGAAAAATAGGGGCCACCTTTGGTGGGAAGGTAACAGCGTACCATGCACCTTTGGCATTTAGTCCTGCCGGCCACATGACCACGGAGACGTCTTCGGACAGTGCTGGCTCTTTGGTTTTGAAACGGAGTTGAGCACCGCCCCCTAGAGTCAGGAACGGCTAGCACACATATGAGCGAGAGGAACCTTTACCTTTACCTTATTTAATAACAATTTTTAATCCCTAGGAAACAATTATGTCAAGGAAAAGAAAAAAAGGAAGGAAGGAGGAAGGAAGGAAGGAAAGGAAGGAAAGAAAGAAAGAAAGAAGAAAGAAAGAAAGAAAGAAAGAAAGAAAGAAAGAAAGAAAGAAAGAAAGAAAAGAAAAGAAAAATGGACTCTGAGTGCAGGTTCTTTAAAGAACAGTGGACTTCCAATTAGTTTTTCATGCAATACAAGGAAACAGCTGTTTGTCTGATATGCCAAGATTTAGTGGCTGTCAAGGAATATAATTTGCATTGGCACTACGAGACTCGACATAAGGACAAATATGATTGTTTGGTTGGACAAGCGAGAAAAGACAAAATATTAAAACTGAAAAATGGATTGACAACTCAGCAAAATGCTTTTGTGAAGCAGAAGCAGGTAAATATTTCATCACTGCGAGGAAGCTTTCAAGTTGCCAAGCCAAGTTACCAAGCACTGGCAGACCATTTGTAGAGGGAGAATTTGTTAAAAATGCCTTCTTTCTATTGCCAAAGAGATGTGTCCAAAGAAGATTGATTTATTTAGTACAGTGAGTCTTTCAGGACCTACAATTACACAAAGGATTGAAGAAATGGGGGACAATTTGCATCAGCATTTGCAAAACTCAAAAAAGGTTGCTATTTTTCGTTGGCACTCAACGAAAGCAATAACATTCATGATTCTGCACAACTTCTAATTTTCATTCGCAGGACAAATGATTATTTTGAAGTCATGGAGGAGCTTGCTGCATTGAAAAGCATCAAAGGAACAACAACAGGAGAGGATATCTTTGAAAAGGTTCACCAAACTGTTAATGATTTGGAGCTGGACTGAGCTAAACTAGCCAATGTGACAACTGATGGTGCTCCTAGCATGGTTGGATGAATGAAAGGAGTGGTTGCATACATTAACAAAAAGATGGACAAACACAGCCACTCGCACCGAATAGCCATATACTGCCTCATTCACCAACGAGTGTGTGTTGTAAGTCACTGAAGTGGCTCTCATGAAAGTTATGGTGTCTTGTGTTAACTTCATTAGGGCACATGCACTAAACCACAGACAGTTTCTGGAATTTCTATCTGAGCTACATGTTGCCTATGAAGATATTTTGTACCACACAGAAGTCCGTTAGCTGAGTCGAGGGAGAGTTTTGAAACATTTCTATGACTTACTTCCACAGGTTTTTGCTTTTCTAATTTCAAAAAAACAAAGATGAAGAATGGAAATGGCACCTT